CCCCCCCCCAAACTTCATAAGTTAGGTGCAGTCTGTGAGCAGCATGCAGGCTAACCTTGCTGTCTTGGTGTGACTAGACTTGGTTTTGTTTTTCCCTTTAATAGGAGTAAAAGGGGCAGTGTCTGATCCAGGCTATTTTGATTATGTTAGTTTTGGGGTGGTACCAACTCTCTTAATTGTGGCAGATATGTTATACTTGGAGAGTTTTTTTTGTCACCTGCTGTATAAGCAAGAATTATGCAGCTAGTAACTTTTTATTTTGCAGTGTGTGTCAAATGAAGACCTTAGCACACATAACTCTCTAAACCTCTAGAAGTGCCATCATACGATTGAAACAGATTACTTCCTATTAAAATAGATAGGAAAGCTCCTGTCCACATTGATGGTGGCAACTGTATGTGTATGTGAGTGTGTGTATATAATTTTTCTGTATGTATATATTCACTGGTTTTGTTTGCTGCTGCCATCATAATGCTGCTCTTTACATGGCTCGGTTGCAGGTGAAGGTTAGCGGGTTTGTAGCCGTCTTTAACTGAAGCATTAAGGGCTTGTGCTTTTAGATAGAGGGCCTGGGTTGGTCTCTGTAAGCAGCTATGTGGGATTAGCATGCTGTTATTGCCAGTGGGATAGTGATTGACTTGGAAATAGAAGTTGAAGCCTGAGATCTGTTTGCGCTTCAGTAACATATGCAAAAAGTGCTTCTGTTTTGTCTTTTGAGAAATTCCAGTTCTCCATACTGTCAGTATGTTGAGTTAGTTGCTGAATAGTCATGTTGAGAAACATTAGTACAGTGCTCTACTGTACCCTCAAGTTTGTCTAAAGGTTTAAGAATTTAACTGGAGGAAAACAAAACCAAAAATGTAACTTGGGGGAGGAGTGGTCCCCCATCCCTTTGAAAAATCCTCATTTCTTGTGAATGCCTGGATGAAGAAATAAACACCACAACCAAAAAACCCAAACAAACCCCACCAAAACAAAACAAACCCCAAGAATGTAACTGACCTGTGTTGTCAGATTTATACTTGCAGGACGTGTTCATATGCACTCTGTGGGATAACTTGATCTTGCTGCTTGGTAATTGGGTCTAGTCAGAATATGTTCCAAGGGTGTCTTAGTGTATTTGCTGTTAAGTCTTCCTCCTGCTAATCCAAGTAGCTCCAATCACTTATCCCTGGATGATTTTAGAGTTGTGAGGCCCTAGATATGGATCTGTACTTACCTCCAAATCAGGATTCCTCTGACTTGTTCTGACTTCTTTGGCAAGCCCGCTTTGGGGATGTCTCAATATTTGTGGTATTCCAGGCAAAGTTTTATAGTTATAAGAAATGCCATATTTCTCATGTAATATTTTTTGTCATGGAATAAGCCTTCTGTTTCTAGTTCCTGTCAGCCACTAAATAAAAGAAGTCTACTGAACATAAATTTGGGTTGTTTTTTTTCTTTCTTGTCTTCTTTTTTTACGGATTTTTTTTTTAATGCTATTTGTTTATGAAACAAGCTAAAAAATGCTTAGTAATGTAGAAAAACACAGAAGGGGAACAAAACAGGAAATGCTTGATACTAACCAGTGTTTGTAAGCATGACTGCCACTTATTTATGCATATTCATTGTAGATGTACATGTCATCTCTTCTTAGGTTCCTGAGCAGCAGCCGATTACTTTATGTAGCGGAGCTGAAGATACCAAGCATTATGAGGAGGGCAAGAAATGTGTGGAAGAATTAGCGTTGTACCTCAAACCACTCAGCAGCGCAAGAGGTAGTTCCTGCATTGTTTCCTTTGAAAATGGAAGCTGGAAACAAATAAGACGCGAAACAAACTATCCAAATGATTAGTTAGTCTGTTTGAAAAAGGGGTATAAACCTATTTTAAAAACAAATTGAAACACATTTCCTAAGCATTAAGGTTATGTCTTCATGGTGGGGTGGGGGTGGTGGAATTTAAAGGCATTACGTTGAAAATAATACTGAGAAAAGGCTGAGGTATTAGGACGAGGTATTTGGCTGCGGTATAGTAAGTTGAGACAAACTTTGTAAGTTGAGTTGACCTCTGCAGGCTAAGTAAAAATAGATAATTCTGCTTTTTTTTTTTTTGAGTTCTGCTTTGCTTTGAGGTTACTTTAGTAATGCAGCTTTTTTGTAGAGGAGGAATAAACTGAAATGAGAAAGTTAGTATATATAGGATATATAAGAGAAATAAGTAATACTCTTGTTTATGCAAGATCTTATACAAAAGCTAAGTCAATCTGAGTAATTCTAATTTAGCATAACTGCACTGGGTTCAAGAGTATGGATTTTATTTATATTACATATGGTGGACTTGGAAAATCTGTCAACCCGAGTGATAGAGGTAAGCATCATGAGCATCAGGTTTTCAGAAATGAATTTTTACAAAAAGCCGTCTGAAGCTTTTCCAACTAGTACAGTGTGGTAGCAGAATCACTCTGAGTAGTAGTGGCTCAATGAACAAGCTGTGTGCTGTAGAACAAAGTCAATATGGCAGCCGTGTGTCTAGCAAGTCACTTGTTCTTTTAACCTGGCTCAAGTGGCTCCCAGCATATTCGTCAGTCACAGTTTTTGCACATAATTAAACATCACCCAAGCAGTTTTGAACTCACATGTAAGTTCAGTTTGGCTAGGCCAAAGCAGCGGAGATACCAGATGAGCATAAGAAACTAAATGTCCTCTGAAAACAGACAAACATCAGAGAAGAGAGTAATCCCTGAAGCCCATGAATAAGGGAAGGACTGCATTGTGATCCTACCCTTGAAGGAGATGCCTGGGAATCTGTATGGGAGGATGCAGGACAGACTACTAATATCCTTTAACCATAAAAGTTAAAGGAGAGAATTCATTAGAGGTTCCACCTTCTTAGAGAACCAAATCAGTCAATCACAAAACTTAAACCAGTGGGAAAACTGAGTCTCAGGATCTGTTTGCTTTTGATGCTGAGTAAAACAAAGTGATGAAAATGAACTTCTGATATGCCTTCTCTAGTGTTCTGTTTAACAAAGTGGACTTCAGGAGAGCTAGGTTTGCACTTCTACAGGATGGTGGTTGAAGGGTGGCATGAGAAGAGGAGATATGAGGTACCTTATTTTTTTATGTGTGTGTGCTTCACTTTGTTTTGAAGGTGTGGGTCTTAACAGTACTACTCAGAGCGTGCTAAGTCGTCCCATGCAAAGGAAACTGGTGACATTAGTTCATTGCCAGCTAGTGGAGGAAGAAGGGCGGATCAGAGCCATGCGTGCAGCACGGTCGCTTGGTGAAAGAACAGTTACAGAGCTCATTCTTCAGCATCAAAATCCTCAACAGCTCTCTTCCAACCTCTGGGCTGCAGTGAGAGCCAGAGGATGCCAGTTCCTTGGACCAGGTAAGTAGCATCACGGTACTGCTTTTATACTAGAAGCAGTTTAGAATTGAGGAGGATTGATAAATGGTTTTTATTAGGCAGTGGCTTAATTTCTTAATAGTAGATCTTCAGAATTAATGATGTCTCTCTTGGGCTGCTTTCATGGACTTCCTTGTGTTTTTAGTGCTTTTGTGAGTCTTCTATAAAATTGAGTGATGTGTGTCCTTTTATAATAAGATAAAATGGGAAGTAGTTTCTCACTTCCCATGCTTTGAAGAAGTAAGACCCTTCTAAAAAAAGTAAGGTTACTAGAAGTGACTGGACATGGCTTCTTTTCCTTCTCTAGGGTAATAAACGTACAAAACAGGTATGAGGAGAGGTTTGTTACATTTAGGGGAGAGGTGTATGCATTTTTAAAAAGCTAAATACTTAGAAATTAAATTCCTGTTCATAGAAAACTAAATCCATTTTGCTTAAAAAAAGAATAAAGTCTCATTACTGAAAATAAAGACTGCTTGTTGAGGACCAACAAAAATAATGCCTGGAAATACGAAGCCAGTTTCTTAAAGTAAAGAAAAAAAAACGTAAAGAAGCTTTTCCCCAATGAAACAAATGAAGGAAGACTGACTTTGGGATGCTGACTTTTGCACCTCTGCAGGGAAAAGGGAGGCTCGTTGCCTAGCAGAGTATGTGGTGCTACAGCACCTAATTTGTTTGTGTGGGCACTTGTTGCTCTTTTACCTGCACGGGAACCAACCTTGGCCTTCCTCAACCTGTCAGCTTTTTCTGCTGGGATAGGTGTGGGGCATAGATAATACACTTTGAAAACTCTTGTATTAATAATCAAGAGAGACCTATAGACAGGAACAAAGAACTCTTCCTATCATCTGATACCCAAAATAGAACAAATCATAATAATTAGAAGAATAAAAAGTCTTATTTCCCCAGTCACAGTCTGGGAATCTGGAAGTGTTCCTTCCCTCTTTTTCCCTTCCTTCTTGCTCAGCTCCCTTTCTTGTCTGTGGGTTTGTGTGTGTGTTGGGAGTTTTGTAGCTGGTCTCCCACTTTTAGGGAAACCAGAAACCATGCAGAAATCTCTTGATCTTCTCTCATCCTTTGTCTCTTTTCTTCACATTTCCCTCCGTCCCCCCCACCCCTGGACCAGCAATGCAAGAGGAGGCTTTAAAGCTGGTTCTACTGGCTCTGGAAGACGGATCTGCTTTGTCCCGAAAGGTCTTGGTTCTCTTTGTGGTTCAGAGACTGGAGCCGCGATTTCCTCAGGCTTCTAAAACTAGCATTGGGCATGTTGTCCAGCTTCTTTACAGAGCCTCGTGCTTCAAGGTATGAAGAAGACTCTGCTTGGAGATTTCATAATGCTATGAAAACAATTTTTTTTTTCCACTTTCAGTTTTCATTGTTCTGTAACATTAAACGTGCCTAAAAATATGTGTAGTTATGGAAAGTATTACTCATTAAGTCCCACATGTGTTTGAAGAGTTCTGTGTCATGCAGCTATGATGGCAATGTAGGCTTGAATTGCAACTTTAAGGTTTTTGTCTCTGTCCAGGTTTAATAGATACACAGTAACAAAACCCGTATGTAAGTCAGCATCTCTTATCTCCTTAGAAGAGGCTTAGAGCTGGAAAATCCCCAGTTCTGTTAACTGAGCAATGGTGTGGTTAGAAACAAATGAGGCTCTTGGATATCAGAGTTGTATAAAGAGAACTTAAGCTGCTTATTGTACTTTACAGTATTTGATGGTCTATTCCTAGGTGCTCGACTTAAATGTCATTCACTTTCCCTAAATGAGGAGAAAAATGCTTTGTTGCTGCTAATTGTACCCTCAGACAAAATTCTGCAATACAAACAAAAGACCTTGATTGGAGAAGTGAAGCGTGGATGCTATAAAGTCATTTAGGAAGTGTGACACTTCCACCAGTATCTGGGGCAGAGTCTGAGTAAATTATTTTTGGTATCCATTTCATAGAGGTTCCACTTTATGAAGTGTGTGTTATTTTAGTAGGAGCTAGTATTCTCTGCATAGTGTTGTAATTCAGTTGAGTTTGGGAGGAAGGACTTAGTTGCTGCCTGAAGATTTCAGTTGCCTTGGACTTCACATAATCTCTGGTTTATCCTGTTTAATTGTATTTGGGTTGTTTCTTCCTACTAGGTGACAAAGCGAGATGAGGATTCCTCCCTGATGCAACTGAAGGAGGAATTTCGGACGTACGAAGCTCTGAGAAGGGAACATGATTCCCAGATAGTTCAAATAGCCATGGAAGCAGGTTTACGCATTGCACCAGATCAGTGGTCCTCACTGTTATACGGAGACCAATCTCACAAGTCCCACATGCAGTCTATCATTGACAAGGTAAAGCCACCTAAAATCAGCCCAGTTTATCTTGTTTGCAACCGTAGTAGATCTAAATGCTGTCACATGAATTTACAAATCATGCCCATGTGTAGTCACCCATTAATCATTTGCCCTGTTGTTTCAAAACCTGTTATGGCCTAAATAATTGCACTATATATTTGTAACCTAACAGATTTTGCTCCCTCTGTCTTCCTGCCATCTCTTTCTACTTTACCTTTTTCTGCAGAAGGGAAGCCACAAAGGTTAGCCACACAGCTGGGATGTGTCCTTTCTGAACAGCTGGTAACTGCCAATGTAGTAACAACAGTTAATGATTCATGTTTCCAGGCAAGAAGTTAGTGCATAAGTTGGAGACGGGAAAAAAAAAAAATCAGTCCCCTAGTCTTTACCTGAAGTAACTGAGAGAGGTGGAAGCACTTTTCTTAAATAAAATGACTTGACGTCTGGAAGTACCCAGATCTCTTTCTGGTTAGAGGGAATATAGGATAAATGGGCTTTTAAATTTGGGGACTTGCATGTAAGTGCCTAAATCAGGTGGGAAGAACTGAACTTTGTGGAATGGTTACAAAAGCTGTGAAACAATTGCTTTGGCTGCTGTGCAGGAGGATTAGCTTCAAGATTGGTCTGCTCTATGTTTATGCCTTTGCCCACCTTTTCAGGTGTCCTGCCAGACATCTCCGGAAGGATCTAGGTAGAATTAAAGGATTTTAAGTACTGAAATTGTGTGATGTTAGTAAATGGAACATTGCTAGCTATCTTTGTCCTTCAACCGTCTTGCTCCTTATTGTCTGCTGTGCTCAGTTTACAGCAGGGTGCAAGCCTGTTGGTTTGGGGATTGGAGATATTAGACTCCTCAGAAGCCTAAATTAAATAGTTTCTAATATTCTGTGTTTATTTTTTTTTCTGGGTGCCGGCACAACACAGAAAAGATAATAGGTTACATTGCTAGAAATAATACTAGCCCTTGTCTATTTAGAGCTGTATTTTAACTTGCAATGCCAAAGAATTGGGCGTTCTTAGTGCTGGAGAAGGAATTTAATAGAAGGTGCTGACTGAAACGAGCTTGTGCGAAAAGAATTTTACTCCAGTTTTGGAAGACAGCTCTTGTGAGCCTGTGGAGCAGCCTTCAGAAACCAAGAGGATTGCTTTGCCTGTAGAAAGTTAATTATTATAATTTTTTCAAGTTGCAGACCCCAGCCTCATTTGCACAGAGTGTTCAGGAATTAACTATTGCTCTTCAGAGGACTGGAGATCCAGCGAACCTGAATCGACTTCGACCTCACCTAGAGCTCCTGGCAAATATTGATCCCAGTCCAGGTAAGTCTAGGTGTTTTATAAGAACCTTTAACTTTCAGTTTAGCAAGAGGAGCTTAAAGCTGTTGAAGGATCGAAAGCCATTTATCGGGTGGAAGGAAACATCCTCTGACTAACAAACTTAAGATTCTTGAGTGGTATTCATAACCAGTTTGGGAGCAGCAGTAATCTGTGTGAGGAACTGAACTATTCTGAAGCTAAAATAGATTCAAAAGTATGACAGGAATAAATTCACCACTTCCTAGTTTGACAGCACTGGGTGAGCGTGGACGAGGATGCTGAACACATACAATCCTGTGAGGTTACATGGTGTATACTTGATATTGGGCAATGCTAACTGGGGGGAGCGGCAGCAGTCTTAGCTTCCTCCTTCTCCCTTTTTTGAGTACACATGCTGCTATTTGTGCAAAGCAACGGGAAGATTGATAGAACCACTGTGCTTAATGCAGAGCCTTATGTTGCACTCAGAAGACTCTCCTAGAGGCAGCTTAAAATCATAGACATCTGTGTGAACAATTTTGGATTCCAAAGTAGAATTTTGATAGATTGAATAGACAGAAGCTGGGCAAAAATCAGTCTAGACAAGAAAGATTTGATATCCTAGGGAGTTTAGTATTTTTCTTGTTAATGTGTAATTCTGCGAAGGTGTGAAAGGCAGTCTGGGAAGGGGAAGTTAGTTGGAAAGAATATGACTGGGAAATAAAATCCTAGCTGTTGACAGAGGAGAGAAAGATGGAAGTTACTGAAAAAGTCAGCAGCACGGTGAGGATGGACTGCCTGAGGGAGAAGGGAAGGGACAGAAGGGAGAGTGCTGTGGATGGAGTTTTGTTTTATGCTTGTTAGTATATGTAAAATCAATACTAAAATAGTGTGAAGGTCTAAACTATGACTTCAGGAAATGAAAAGCTGTAGTTCTTCGTTTCTGTTTGTTTAAACAAATACATTTACCTTTCAAATGAGGACCAGTTGTACTTTACAGTTAAAGGAGATGTAGTGCTTTCTTCCCAAGTCTGTCGTACTGTAGCAAGTCAGGGACAAAACTGTGTGTGTACTGCAAATTTGTTAGCCAAAGACTGATCTGGAAAGTGGAATAGCCTCACTCAGTTTCAGTAGGTGAGTCTGAGCTTGATGTTTCTCTTCTGTGCTGTTGAGTTGCTTCCCATTCTATAGGTACGTTGAAGTTCCTCTGGAATAATTTAGTCCTTGTGAGCAGAATAGAACGTAAGTGTGCTAAAGATCTCAAAAGGCACTTTGAGGGCCTATGTTTTGCAACAGCGTGTAGGCATGTGGTGGGAGTGTCATCTGCTCAAACAGATTAGCCAATGTACTTTTCTAATAATTGAGAAAAAACAAGTGCCCCTATAGAATTAAGACTGTACAATTTATTCACACTGCTGTATGTTAGAAGGTGGTCTGATACATAGATTTGCCTTGTGACATTTTTCTGTGTGAGAGGCATCAATTTCTGTTGCTATTCAGTGACTTTGCCTGCATGCTCTGGGCCAGTGATGATGGTATTTGTACGGAATGATTTTACCTGCAGGAGTCTGAATGCAAAGAGTAATTTTTTTCAGCCTGATTTTTTTTTAAATTATGTGCAGAGTTTGTACGAAGCATTTACTCTGGAGTTCTTGTGAGACATGAAAGTTCTGGTAAAAGGAAATAATTTGACATGCTAGCCATAGTCTTGCTCGCTCATTTGGTATTTTGTGTGGTTCCATTGTGAGTCTATAGGTAGCTTTATTCTTTAAGTGGTACATATCCCTGAATTAAGGCGCTGAATGCTTTTTATCTAATGAGACACGTTTCTGATAAAATATTTTTGGTTGTCTAGTGAAGTTTTGTGATACTGGTGGTTTCTTTGTACCTGGGTTTGGAAAATCTCTCTGACTTTCTTTTTATATTCTCTGTTTGCTGTCAATACAATAGATGCTCCACCTCCAACATGGGAACAACTGGAAAATGGGCTAGTTGCTGTGAGGACTGTGGTTCATGGCTTAGTTGATTATATCCAGAATCACAGCAAGAAAGGAACAGATCAGCAACAGGTAAAAGCTAAATCATTTAGGAAACACTTACCTCTCAATTTTACGGGCTATTGGTATCAGTAGTGGAAGTTTGCTAACATCATCTGGAGAGATTTGTTTTCTCGAGGAGCTGATGAAAAACATCACCGCTGTGTTGTATTTATCAAAAAAGAAAGGAGAAGGGAAAAAACCTAAACCACCACAACTTTCCTCCCATGCCTGTTGCATTAATTTGCACAGCTTGCTAGGATGAAAAGAAAAGAGTCTGATCCAGCTACAAGCTTAGGGAAATGAGTAAACAACCCTCCTGACTAGAGGGTGGGGAAGAGAAGCCAGGGTGCCTAGCACTATGATCTGTGGGAATTTTCTTGGGTTTGTTTGAATGTGACACATTTCGGCCAGATGACTCTATGTTAATGAAATTATTCTTGCACATGTGCTTAATGGTCTGTGAAGTTTAAAGATTTGGAAAGACTTCATATAAAGGTGCAATCCAAGTTCCTGAAACAAAATTTTTTGTTTCAGAAATGAAATTATGTTGCCAAATATATACATTAGCTTATCTCATAGTTATCACGTGTTCCTTTGATCTCATTTCGTTACATAGCTGTAAGTTGATATAAATGCTAGCTGCTGCTGAAAGACAGAGCTGCCTGTCACACATTCTCACTCCCTCCCTTGCTTTGGCACTCATCCTCTTGGAGAGCTGGTTCAGGGAGCTGAACTAGTAAAAAGATGATATCTGCCAAAAAAAAAAAGACAAAATTAGAGTGAATTATTTCTGCTGTTTTACCTTTTTGCGTTCACTGGAATGCTTAATGAGCACTGTTACCAGCAAAAGGAAAAGCAGTAGGAATACACAAGTAGAAATTGGGGTGGGAAGAACAGTGAGGATTTTTGTTCTGGTGAGACCATCGCCTAGACCTGGTACATGCTGTGCTGCTTGGAAGGGAACCCAAAGCCTCCCAAGTGGGAAAGGGGACATCTGCTGAGTATTGGGCAGAGTTTTGCTGGCTGGCAGCAGTGGCCAGCAGAAGGCTGTGCAGCTTATGTACACCCTGCCTAAATCTTTTTGTCGCTACAGTAGATGGCCAAAAAAAAAATACCAGTTTGCAAATGGCTGCTTAATGGATTCACATCTTTTGGCTGAGTTTCTCAGAAAGCAGGAATTTACTTTTACAGACCTTTCCCTCGGTGGGAACTGTTAGGGTAATTCCGCCATAAAAACTGTAGGAACTTAAATGTCTTCTGTTAGGGTAATTCCACCATAAAAACTGTAGGAACTTAAATGTCTTTGGGACCACCTTCGGCCTTCTGTCAAAATTTATTTAGACTGACAAATGGTTGTACATGCAGACAGCAAGATTGCAGTAAGTTGTTGTTTCTTGGGAAACTTAACCAAGAAAAATACAGAAGACAACCCATACCCTGCTGATCTATGTAGGAGTAAGATTGCATCCTCAACTATTGACGGAAATAATTAATGTAGATAGTGTAGAGATTTTTAGTTCGAAGGGGAGTAAAAGGGAACTTGATGAAATTTAACTCTCACGGAGATTAAAGGGATACTCAAGTGCCATATTGAGCTAAGAGAAATCATGGGAAAAGTAACTGACTAAATTGTGTTTATTTTCAGTCTACCACAAAGCTTGATGAATATTTGGCAATTTCTGTTTAAGCACGGTAACTTTTTTCAGCCTATATCAGTTTTGTCCACTTAACTGTGTCCTGAAACACACAGCTGTGTTCCAATCAAGCTCCAGTAAGGAATTTTGAATAAAAGTGTTTTAAAAACTTGATAGTGACTTAGTTGTCAAAATATCTACTCTTGAAGCTATTAGTTCTGTTGAAGAACCGAACACAAATACTGCTCCAGTCGTTTATTTCGTATTAGGTAATTGTGGAACATTTAAATTGAAGGAATTACCAACAGTCAAACATCAGGCCTTTAATAAGAGGATATGTTCAGCTCTTGGTTAAGTGCACTTAGATTCCGATATCTCACCTGGTTTCTTTAACCTTGTCAGCCTCCTCAGCACAGCAAGTACAAGACATACATGTGCCGAGACATGAAACAGAGAGGGGGATGTCCCCGAGGGGCCAGCTGCACCTTTGCACATTCACAAGAGGAGCTAGAAAAGTAAGTGTACCTCATAGAACAGAAATCAGTCTGGTCTCTGTTTCATTTTATTAATTTTAACCATCTCAAGTTGCGCAAAGGGTGGTTCAGGCTGGATATTTGGAAGAATTTCTTTACTGTGAGAGTCGTTAGGCATTGGAACGGGATCCCCAGGGAGGAGGTGGTGGACTCACCATCCCTGGAGGTGTTCAAAAAACGTTTAGATGTGGTGCTTTAAGACACGGTTTAGTGGGTTTAGCGGGCATGGTTGCATTGGGTATACGGTTGGACTTGATGATCTTTGAGGTCTCTTCCAACCGTGATTCTATGATTCTGTAAGAATTATTTACTGTAACTAGGAATGAGGAAAGGAGGCATAACTTCTCTGTTACATTAACATGAAATAATATGAAAAATTTGTAACAGTCACCTACTAGGTTTTGGAACTGTTCCTCCTTAAGTATAGGATATTTTGCTTTGTTCAGCAGTAATGCAGCTCTGAAAGTTTGTGTATGCCAGTGTTGTTTGAGATTTTGAGGGTGGGCTGTTTTTCTTAAGTGTGACTAAACATGCTGTTTTGACTGCATCCATTTTGGTCATTTATTTGTGTGGACATCTCATCTTTCCTTTATAATTCAGGTAGGTTACTGGCAGTTTTCCAGCTCTAGGGATTCTCTTACTCTTCTGTGCTGCTAGGGCTAACCAGAGAGCTAAAAACGAGCATCTCAAGTTTGCTTTCTGCAATGGTTATTCTTTGAAACTTTTTGACAGATTGCACTTGCAGTAACCTTAAAGTGGTTAAAGCTATTGTTGAGAAGTTAAAAAATGGTGATCGTATGAGGTATGCAGTAAATAAGCTGCATTCATTACAGATTTAGAGGAGGCACCAGTTATCCAGGAGCAAGCTGTTGCTGTTCTGAAGGTTGTTTTAATTATTTTTTTTTAAGTAAAATGGATTATGTAAGAGTTAAATACACTGTATTTATTTCTTTTTATGCAGTATATATAAGTTGTTACTTGTTTTTTGGGCTAAAATAATTAATATCTTTCAAAGAAAAGGTACCTTTTTTTTTTAATCAAAAGAAAACTCCAAAGATTTGGAAATGGTATGCAGTCTTTTTTTTTTTTTTTCCCCCCCTTACTCTAAACCTTGAAGCATTAATATAGCAGTTCGTTGGCTGTATAGCCAGCATGCAATGCATGGGCAAAACAGGAAGGAAAAAAAAAAACCACAAACAAGAGTAGTGCATGTGGTATTAGAATGACAAAGACAGTCATTCAAATGAACAGAGAATAGGACTTTGATACTTGTGTTCTGCAGAAACAGTTGGGGGTTTTCCCCTTCTGTCATGGTGTTAAGAAAATGGAGATTGGTAGTGCTGGTTTGGATGGTTAACAAGGGTGGTGAGTCAATATTAGTACCTCTGAACTAGTTGTATGTATCAGAAGGACTGTTTGCCAGTTTGGCAGGTGGAAGAGACCTGTTTTATCCAGACTGGCTCGTATACCTTAGTAATAATCTTGTCATGGGGTGAAGTGAAGTGAATGAATGCTTGTTCTGTTTCAGGTTGCAGCAGTTTCTTTAAGTGTTTGGGGAACTTTGGGTTCCAATTCTTCCGTGTACCTTTTATCTTTGCTTAATTCCTTTAAGTAGATACTGGATTAGTGTTCCTCCTTTTTAAAATGTTTAGTATAAATAATACGCATTGTGGTTGCTGTGTAGTTCCTATATCTCTCTATATAGCGTTACATTTGCAGGAAGGTTATGGGGAAGTACGTGGTAACGAGTTAGTAAATTATAATCTAAACTTGCTTAAACAGCAGCTGGTTCCCCTCTTGGCAAGGGACAAAGACCCAGTGTGCATAGGCAAGTACTAAACTTTTTTAGATTATTTTTTGTCCTGCACGTGTGGAGATTGCAACAAAGATTCCTAAAATTGTTCAGAAAAATCCAGAGGGCAGTACTCTGCAACTTTTATTTTTTCCAAGTGTTTTATCATGGAGGGTGCTATATAAATTCTTCCTGTCACCTTTGATTGGGTGTCTATACACGTACGCCTGTCTTTGGCGGGTCCTGTTGTGTTCCAGATGAAGGGGCAGGGATGGCCAGTCCTCCTCAGCTTGCAAGTTGTGTGCAAGCCTTCAAAGAGTCGGGAGCCAGCAGACACTGCACCTCTAAGAGACCCGATGGGAGGCAGGTGTCCAGAAGTAGTTGGCAGGGAGGACGTGGCAGTGGCTGCCCAACATCCTGCTGCTGCATTGCAGGGATGATCTGGTTTGGATATTGAGCAGGATGCCAAAGTAAAGCAGTAAGTTCAGTCTGGGGAGCTCAATTCCACTCGCCTGCATGTGTCCACCTGACTTGCATGGCTGATGTGAGATGCCAAAACAACTTTGGAGCAGCATATGTTTAGAAAGTTGTAGTCTGTCCCTACTCAAGTGCTTCTACTGTGTTGGTAGCCTGATTTGTTTACTCACTTTTCATGCATCCTAAATGATTCCCACTGTCAACACTATGTAGCTAGAATTTATAGTTTGATTATGTGGGTGAAGATTAATCCAACCAGGAAATTGGGGTGTTGGTGCAGAGTTAGGAAGGTGGCTGGAAGATAGTCAATGAGCTCTTACAGACAAACAACTCAAACCTATCTAGCAAGATGACACTTTGACACTCAGTGACATCTAAAAACCAAAACAACAACAAAACCCCACAACAACAACAACACCCCTTTTTTGCTGTGTTGCATTGCTGTTTATGTTTGCCCACATGCACAGCATTAAGATTACCTGAAGATTGAGTAATAAAGTATAACTGCCCCCTCTTTATTTTCCACAATAATATGTGTACCTTCCTAGTTGTGTTACCATCTCACTTTGCTTGTTAGATAGAATACAAAAGTGTTGGCTTTGATCCTGTTGAACCCTTCTTGCATAGGAAATGGCCTCTTATTCCGCAGTATAAGCAGAGGGAGCACTCAGGCCTACAAATATGCCCTCCACTTGCATTCTGGTATCTAAGCTAATGGCAGGATGTTTAGTGGAGGACCTTCAACTCTGGAATTTGCTCTCTTCATTGGTCCGATACCATCAGTCTGGTGATTTTTGTGGAACGTTAGTTAAAAGGCTCGTGTTTATTCAGACATATTGGAAGCAGTTAGATTTTCTGCAATTACAGTGTGTTCATAGAGTTTTTATCTCTGCAATCACTTAACTTGTCAAACAATGCGAATTACATAAGCTACGTATTGGTATAGTAACATGAATCTTAATAAAGTGTGCTTTAAGAGATCACATGGCTATAAAAGCTTGACTGGGCTTATTGTTGGACAAATGGTGCAAAAGGGAATGTTCATTTTTTGTTGCTTTAATTTTCTACTATTAGTTTCTTCTCTGAATAAAATGGACTTGAGTAGTCTGTGATTCTTATTCTGAGGCTTCTGTTACTATGGTTAACATTTTATGTGATGTTTTGGTTTTCTTGTGTACAGTTGAAATGCATATGTCTACAGGAAATAAGATTTTAAGCTTTCTGTGTGAAGTTTAGCTGTGAATTCTTGGTGTACTTGTCTTTAAAAATCCATCCTTGTTCTTCCGTTTGAAACTGCTATTAACACTTCAAATAGCGGTGAAGTTGTAATCTAACAGATAATTTGTAACGAATTTCTCATGAGGAGAGTATTTCCCTTAGAAAACTGGAATTCAAACAAAGCATTTGGTAGCATCTATGTTTGAAAAAATCTTGAAAATGCAACTTCTTTTATTTTTTTGTTTCAATTTTTGATGTGTGGTTTCTCTTTCTGAAGATTCCGTAAAATGAATAAGCGTCTGGTTCCCAGAAGACCCCTGAGTGCCTCCCTGGGCCAGCTAAATGAGGTGGGCCTGCCTTCAGGAGGTATCCTCTCGGACGAAGGGGGAGTGGACTTGCCCAATAGGAAAACTTCTGCTCTGCCAAATGGAATTGTGTCAACAGGCAGCACAGTGACGCAACTTATTTCTCGAGGGACTGACTCTGGTTACGAAACTGCTCTGAAGCCAGGGAAGATGGACCATCTGAGTAGCAGTGCCCCTGGATCCCCTCCTGACTTGTACGGGTCTTCCTAACTGTTGTTCAAAGTGTCATGTGTGTAAATATGCAGTAGAAGTAAATCCATTCTCTAGAAAAGAAACAGAACAGGGGTTTTTTTGGGGTTGTTTTTGGTGAGTTTGGGTTTTTTTTAATGATTAAATAGAGTAGAAGACTAAAGCTAAAATTCTAAACTGCTTTACTTCCCTGTTTGCTTATATTTTAATTGAAGAAGGTGATGTAAGCCTTCAGAAGGTGGAATATAGACGAAGAACAGTGTTTTAAAGTACAGTGTGCTAGATCAGGCCTTAATGCACAGTGCCACCTTTCTACTTTTTAGGCTGGAATCTGTCCCCAAGAGCTCTATTTCTGCCTTACCGGTGAACCCTCATCCTGTCCCTGCTCGGGCACCAACGGATCTGCCTTCGGTGTCTGTCACCAAGCAGTTGCAAATGGTACCACGAGGGTCTCAGGTGTATAATACTCAGCAAGCAGATATGTTCTATCAAGATCCTAGAGGAGCTGCCCCACCATTTGAGCCAGCACCCTACCAACAAGGTAAGTTTTGAGACCAAGCTCTCTATCTTGCATTTTCTTGCTGATTTTATTTTTTTTTTTCTTGCTGCTCTGCTGTTTACTTAGGCTCTTAAATTGGAGTTCTCTTGCACCTGGATTATAGACACTAATGTGGTGATGACATAATAAAATGGAAGTTGGTAGGCTTTTTAATGTCTTGACTGAGGACTTCAGTGCAAGTGAAAACAGTATCTAGTATCTATCCAGTGTAGGAATAGTTCTTCCCAATGGGGCTAGGTCAGGGATCTGGTAAACCTTAATTCAATTTGACTCGAGGGAAAATGGAAATAAAGCTTAATGAGCAGAGGGATTTATGTTTGAGGGGTGAAAGTATTTACATCCTTAATGAAAAGTGTACGAGTGTTTCGGAAATGTCTGCACGTGAGTTAGAGAAGGGCTGGGCACAAAAAAGAAAACATCGTAAAAAAGGAATTAAGAGGAAAAGTTCCAAGTATAAGGAGACCAAGTGGGGAAAGATAATATTGAAGGGGGTTAAAAAGAAAAGATATGGCCATATATAAAGACAGGGAATGATTGTTATGCAGTGTAAGACTGGAGAGAGAACTGTCATAAAATGAAGGTAATAGGAAAGAAAAATAAGGAATGAAAGATTGAAAGGAGTGTAAAGAAGAAAAAACCCTAGAAAGGAAAAGGATGGGAAGCCATTTTCCAGAAAGTTGCAGAGCATTTTGAAGGAAAACTTGCATTTGATTATTGTTTGCAAATGAAGATCTGAGTTGTCCACAAAATTCAATGCACATGTTGTTAATGATGTGCAGGCATATTTTCATTTTGGGCATATTTTTAAATCTTCCAGAGATCCCAGATAGATTACTAAAATCTTCACTTAACTAGGAGATGTGATCTTAGAAGTCTTTGGTGATTCACAGTACTGAAATTTCCTTCTGCTGTTCAGGAGGTGGAACAAATCTTTAAATAACTTTGAATTAAAATTAATCCAGGTTTCTTTACACGGGTGGTGGCTCTGATACATTGGGACAAATGGAGTTTTAGTTACATGGGTAAAGATATATAGGTTAATTTTCAGTTTACTTTTTAGATCTTGTCTAGCTAAAAGCATTCATATCAAGCTGCGGAGATGTTCTAGTGAATTATTTCTGTTTGGTATGCTCCAGGACTTCTGTGGCACCTGTGGTGGGCTCAGTCTCGCCACCTCTTCTCCAGCTACTGTAACCTTCACGCCTTGCTGGTGTCTTGTGTAGATAATTGAACTGTATCACTTGAGTGTTGGATCAACTTTTGCTTTTTTGAGGTTTTCTGTGGTTAATTTTTGAGTAGAAATACTGGTTAGACAGGTGGGGGCAAACAACAAATTTGAATTAATTTATACCATTCTGTTCATCATGCTTGTAGACTGGAGTATTTGAAACAATTAGTTTTGTGGACAGTTGTGCTAATCACTTTCTGTATCTTGTTTGTGTGTTTTTTCTCCTGCCTTATTTCAGGAGTTTACTATCCCACTCAGTCCATGTCTCGCTTTGTCCGACCTCCTCCGTCAGCTCCCGAACCTGGTCCACCTTATTTAGACCATTACCCACCCTACCTTCAGGATCGTGTGGTGAGCCCACAGTACACGCAGCCGCAGCAGTACCCCCCTATGGGACAACCCATATACCCACCGCACTACGACAGCCGTCGAGTATATCCCCCTGTCCAGCCATATCAGCGAGAGGAGATTGTCCGAGGAAGCCCTGTACCCATTGAAATTCCACAAGCAGCTGTACCTTCCTACGTACCCGAATCCAGAGACAGATACCAGCAAACAGAGGGTTATTGCTCCGTGGCTCCACATGTCAGTCAGATCAGACCTTCGTGCCACAGGGTATGATTTTTATATTGCTTTTTTGTAGTTTGAGAGAAAAAATACAAACTACTTGAAGTTGAATATTTTTGCATTAAGGTGATGGTTTTTGTGAGGAATTACAAGTTTGAACTTAAAGGGATACATTTGACAAAGCTGATCAGAAACTGGAAAGCAGTTTAGTTACTGGTCAACTTTGCAATTGTAATGATGTTAATATGTAAAAGAGCAGGCTGCTGCTTAGTACTTGAAGTAGAAAAGCATTGTAATTAATTTTGGAAGTCTCATATGGCCCTGACTTCTCTGACAAAGATTGGGCTGGAGAGGGCCGCTCTCTTTCTAGTGCAGATTAAATACAGTGTGTGTGAATGGTCGTATGTGGGTTCTTGCACTGCCCACCTGTGCCTGACCATCTCTGTGCCTGAATAAATAAATATGCAAATGTACATGCCTTGATAAAAGAACTAAAAATTCTGCTCTTCCAAATTTTCTCTACTTTAAGATAGCTAACTGGAGGACCTTTCTAGTAGAAGTGTACAAACTTGTTTTGTTAAATAACCAGCTGAAATTGAGTCCTGTAGAGCAGTTGGTCTTGTGTAGCTGTCATTCTGATTAAAGGCTCTGAACATAGCTTATAGATTTATCAGTTTGAGTTTGGCACAGTTGTGGGATGTTTAATTCTGTTGCAAAATGAATAATAAATGCAAACTGTGACTAGATTATGATCTGTAGAGTTCTACCACTTTCACCCCATATGACTGATATGGGGACTTGCCACGCTGTTCCAATGGAAACTTTGCCAAGTTGGAACACAGAGTCGTGTTGAGCTACCTGTGAGTTAAAAGGTTAGTAATTTTGAAGTTAGAAACACTGGGTTAGTTGAGGATCTAATCAGTTTTAGGCAAATAACTTTCCTTGCCTTTTGGGTATCTTGAACTAACACTCTGGCTGGTGTAGGAACATGTATGTCCTATATTAAACATGAAAGTTAACAGAAAGACTTTAACAAAATGATCATTACTTACTATTGTAATGATAATGCTATTCACTGTATTTTCCTTTTCTTGCAGTATATGGTTGTCCTATTTTGTAATGTATTTCTGTCTTCATTTCAGCCTCATCCCAGCCTGGATGAACTTCACCGACGAAGGAAGGAGATCATGGCCCAGCTAGAAGAGAGGAAGGTGATTTCTCCACCTCCTTTTGCACCGTCACCAACCTTGCCTCATCCATTTCATTCAGAGGAGGTAAGTGTATTTTGACAAAAATGTGACTTAGTAGCCATGTTTAGAAAATACTTTGGAGTTTGTGTGTGCTGATAGGTGAAGACAAGAAAATCAGAACAGTAGGGTGTGTCGGGGAGTAGATTTTTGTGCTCCAAGTGGGAAGTCCTTATAGTGCAGTCTCCAGTCTCTCGGTTGGCTGTTGATTCTCTGATCTACCACTGATCCTAAACTATCTGCTTTTGGTGCAACCAAGAGAATTAGTTTTGAGCCATTATTAGTGGAAATAGTCAGTCTTCATGGTTACTGGACTTTGCTTTGTTTGCTCCTGATATGTTTAGAATTAAGTAACAGCTTGATAGAGGTTTATTTTTTTTTAACCGAGGTCAAAATATCACTTTCATACTGTCCAAGTGAAAGGCAGCACTGGGAGTGTAGCCAGGTGATCAGTTTCACACGTTTCATGCTTGCCATGGCCCAATTCCAAATGGTGATGTATCCGATAAAAAAATAACCCTGGTAATGTTTTTCTTCAAGTTCACTGCTGTTGAACTAAGTAGTGGTGGCTGTGAAGGTGCTTATTCCCTTCACTTACAGAACCAGGTTTTTGTTTTTGTACAGTACTTGGATGAAGACCTGAAGGTAGCTGGGAAATACAAAGGAAATGACTACAGCCAATACTCTCCCTGGTCCTGTGACACCATCGGCTCCTACATTGGAACCAAAGATGCAAAACCCAAAGACGTTGTGGCAGCAAGGAGTGTGGAGATGGCGGTACGTAGGGATTAGGGAAACGCAGAAGAAAAGTTGATACTTCTGTGGGTTGGGAGGAATGCTTTCATTTGCTTTTCAGGATTATGTCAGTGCTTCTATTTGAGCTCAGAAGTGCATTGCAGTCAAAGAATGCATTTGCGAGTGTGCAGAGTGCTTTGTTTTCAAAATTATGAACAGTCCTACATCTGTGTAGCTGTTTTAAAATTCTGGGTATAGGTGCTGGCTAACCACTCTGCTCTAAAGCCATGGATAGCAAGAGATATTTTGCCATGATTCTTTACACTTACTTGAAATCCAAAAATTACTCTGTGCTGGCAGCTTGTTAGTTGGACGTGTCCATCTGTTGCTTTCTGTACATCTTTCTGTGAGAGGGAGATGCTGTAATTTAACTTTGTGCTATTAATTCCTTTTAAGGTAATAGTTACTGCTGTTAACAATGTTACTGATTTTTACTTGAAGGACTCTGTGATTTATGGCCACGAGAATACCCAAAACTTGCATGAAGCTTTTGAGAGAAGCATAGTCATAATGTAATACTAAGCTGATTCTTCTCGAGGGCAATTTCTAACTCTATGCTGTGCTTATTCATTCCTTCACTGAAGCTGTGGGTGTCTGGCTGTGATCTTATTTTGCATTTTTGCTAGGTCAGTGTTACAAAAAAGAAGGGGCTGCTAGGGTGTCATTATTGGGAGTAATGAATGTAGGAGAGGAAAAACAGGATTCTGAAGTACCACCACTATTCTGTTTCTTTGTAATGTTTAAACATCACTCAACAGCAAGAAGTAGGCTGTAGCCCATGCAAGTAGGAAGACATTCAAGTCTTCGAGAGACAGGACTGTTTAGTCTGAGGGGCCATTTTACAGAGGTGCATCTGTTTTTTCTCCTTCACCTCCTATCTGCAGAAGTGTTGTGTTATCTTTTGTTTATATATTGTCGCCGTTGCAGTAACCTTTCTTTGGCCAGCAAGAGGAAGGAGGGAGAAATTTCTGTCCAGAATTTATTCTTCTGTGGACAGGTGCTCACTTGTTGAAACCACTTAACTAAATCATAGGATTTTCCTATCCAACTTCTCCTCTTTGCCCACAAGCAGACTTCCCTGTTTCCCCACTGCCTCACTGGAATTAAATGTGTCTCTTTTCTGTCCGCTGGAGTGCTTTCCTGTAAGACTTTGAAGGCACTGTGTGAACTGGGAGCAGAAAGGAGGCTTTCTCCCAGAAAAAGCAAAGCAAGAAAAGGCGTTTCATCTGAAACTTTGGGTTTGGTTTTTTTTACGTGTCCTTTTACTCTCTGTTCTACACAGTGTATTTGCCTTGCATTGCAACGCTGTCACATTTGACCTGGGGAAGTACTGAGATTACTCAGAATCATCTTATTGCTGTCCAGGTGGCAGCATTCAGGAACCAACAAACAGCTCTTGTCTTTTGTCTCTGCTGCTAGAAAACTATGTGAACAAAGTGTAACTCAATTAAGAGAAGTGATAGGGTTCTGGAGAAGCAGCCTCCTTTTTCATTGCTAAAGAAAGCATTCTTCTGCCCCACAGCTAGTTTTGAGATCAGCAAATAGGATCTCTGCTGCTCCAAAGTTTTTGTCTCCTCACAGGAAAAAATTTTCAGGAGACCTTCACTGCAGATGGCAATTTGAATGCATTCTTCCTTTTTTTTTTATTGTTCATAAGAGATTCCTTTTTTGAAGGCTAAGAATACTATCATCTGAGAATGCATAATGCTGGATTTTATGCAGAGGGCATTGCAACTTTACTGTGTTCTCCCCCTCCCCTCCTCAATAAATGGAAAGAAATTACAATTGGTACTGACATCCTACGGACTCGAGATAAAAATGTCATTTTTATTTTTTTTTCAGAATTCCAAAGTAGATGCTGTCTAATGCATCTTCCAGATTCAACATGTTACATTGGTTCAGTTTATCTTCCAACTCAGTTGTGACTGCCATTTTCACCCCTTTATTCCTTTCTTTATAGCTATGTTATCTTGTCTGTTTCTAGCAATCCTCATCCTCACTGCAAGTATGCAGAGTTTAATTTAAATTTTGGCCCATACTGAAGTTTTGAGTCTTCAGCCAGTCCTCTTTGTGTAGTAGCCACACTTACCTTGTTCTTTTGCTGTGCTGTTTTATTTCTTTAGCAAAGTCTTAACTTGATTTTGGCGGTTCTTACAGTGTTACGTTTTCTGGCAGCCAACAGATAGCTTTCCCATTTAACTAAACACTTTTCCCATTATTTTTTTTTTTTTAATTGAGTCTGTTTATTTCTGTTACTGTTTTGTGTTTATCTGGATGTGGTGATTATTCGGCGGGCAGGGGGGATGTTCGTATTTTTTTTTGTTTTGTTTCTTTTGTTTCCTCTTCTTTGAGAAAGCTTTTTTAAAATTTATTTTTATTCATGGAAACAACCCATTGACTTGTGTTTTTAAGTTACTCACTCCAGATGACTTCTCTCATAACTGGCCTAACTTTATCTCCTGAAAAGCTTTGTTGAAAATCTCTGTGATAATCTGTTGTTTCTTCTTCGAAGTAAGTTAAGTCAAATTGACTTCTCCTGCTAAATCAAGCTTGTTTTCTGTGCACATCTTTTCCTTTGTGACTGCTTGGCAAAGTTCATTGAGGAGAGAGAGAACATTTTATCTGCTAATTTGCTGACCCATTAATGTGTTTGAGTCTGAAGTGGAGTTAGAAACCAGGGTGTTACAAGCAGTACTACTACTTAATGAAAAATGTGCCTGAAAAGGTGTGCTAGACGTGTCTGACTAAGTGCTGTACTGAATAATTCCCATTTTGAGTCATCCGCAGGCTTTTAGATGATATGGTTCTTAACACTGGGCTTCAGAGAAATTTTCTTTTGGACTTTGGAAGGAGTATGTATTCCTCGGAGATGCCCGCTGATCTCTGCTTTGACTTTATTCTGGAGTCTTTTTTTCCCTTCTGTCCCATTAGATTTTCTCTGTCTTAATTTTCCTTTGGTGCTGCTCCCTTCTCTTGGATTTGTTTGCAGTTAATCATGCAACTGTTTCGCAGTGGCGGTAGCAATGGTCATCTCAAGTTAGACCATTAGAGAGACATCAACTCCAGCAGTGGAGTTATAAACTGAAGAATAGGAAGACTAGTGGAAGGATGATTGGAATAGAGAATACAAGAGAGACTTACAATACTGGTACTGGCTTGTTGTAAAAGGAACGTGGGTTGTGTTCATTTCTGAATAAGTTTTTGACTGCCTTTTCCATATCTTGTCTAGAACGTAGATAGTAAAGCCATGCGTGACCAGCGATTAGACATGCAGCGAAGGGCAGCAGAGACCGGTGATGATGACCTCATTCCATTTGGAGACCGACCAACTGTGTCGAGATTTGGGGCTATCTCTCGTACTTCCAAAGCGATGTACCAGAATTCTGGTCCCATGCAGGCCATGGCGGTTCAGGGAGCTACCACCAAATCAATCATTTCAGGTACAATGTGTGCTCATGGGTTTTGCTGGCTGCTACCGTTTTCTTTAGTGCTACAGTGTAGTGCAAGTTGAAGACAGCCCCTGTAAACTTGTTTCTTGTCTTAGAAATAGAGATGAGATGTATGCCACTAAAAATAACGCTAGGTAGGGCTACACTGAGAAGCCTGTAGAAAAAGACTGCCACTTCTTCCTGTTCCACAGACAGGTTTGTGCTCACATAGTGTGTGTGTTGGTGATGTGTTGCTCTTTGGAAAAAGTTGTTTTGTTCTGCTGGTCCCTCTGAGATGAGGCTTCTTTTAAATCTGTCATAGTAGAATCCAGACTTACTGCTTTCTCAAATACATAATGCAAAACCATCATAACAAAGTACTGTACTGCACTCCTACTTTATGGGTAGTGGCTGCTGCAAGCTTAGTGCAGCCATTGTTTTGTGCACTCTTGGGCAAAGCAAATAAAGTAGGAGTGGTTTATTTTCTATGCATCTATTTTCTAATTCCATGTATAGTGTGGCTGTATATCTTGCTCCAAAAGATGGTCTCTTTCTTGAGGTGCACTGAATAATCTTAAGAAAAGACTTAAATATATTCCCACAAACTGCCTTCTAGATTTTTTTCAGGAGTTAACTGCTGGAAATAAAAACTGATTTGCTTAATGCAAGCAGTAGCTTTCTAGGCTTTATCACAGGTAGCGCACTGTCTTCCCTGAAAACGTAATCTTCAAACTGATATTAGCTAGGTGTCTCAGATCAACTGTCGATTCTTTTAGGAACTTAAGTAATAAAAATAATTGCTCTCACAGTGGCTGTAAGGTAGTTTTTGCGTCCCTGTCCCCCTGAGTGTCTGAAGTCCTTCCCAAAGTCAGAATCTGGAAGGCTGTAGCAAATCTTGTGGGATGTGCAGGAAGTCTCATGCACTGTACTATGAGACTGGTCACACATAGTATTTTTGGGTTCATTTCAGCAGAAGAAATGTTAGACTTCCTCCTTGTTGGAGGGCTGGCCTTCCTGATTGTTCTCTAGTTTCTGTCCAGTTCTGTGTATTGGCTGAACTACTTAAAGGATAATTTTGTAGTAATGCGACGGTTTTCTTCCTGTTCGCTGGCAGACTACAATCCGTATGGAACTCACGGTGGCTGGGGAGGCTCTCCATATTCTCCTCATCAAAATATACCTTCTCAGGGACGTTTCAATGACAGGTAGGATTGCTTTATTTTTCCTGTGCCTTTTTCTAAGTTTTCTTTATTTCTGTGGCAGCTGAGTAAAGCTTTTTTTTTTTTAATCTCCTTATTTTTGCTTTTCTGGTCCCAAAGGGAGAGACTGTCCATGTCAGATGTGGCTGGTCATGGGAAGCAGTTGCCCTCGGCTGAACGAGAGCAGCAGCTGCGCATGGAGCTGCAGCAAGTAGACCATCAGATTAGCCAGCAAACACAAATGCGAGGACTAGAGGTTGGTACCGACATTTGGAAGAATGGCGAGAGGTGGTATGGAGAGAGATGAAGTGAAGCTGCTTTACATGCGTTGATGGTCTTTCTCTGGCTGTAATGATATTCAGTAACAATACTTAATTCTGATGCCAGGCATCAGGACTATGGTACAAGTCTAAACCTCTCTGCTTAGCAGCAGAAACTTCCCTGCACTTCACGTGCAAATCAACACCGTACTTGTATCTGCACTCTGTGCTCGTTCATGTTTGCTTTCGTTCTCTCTCTCACCCCCCCTCTCTGTTCATCTGTTAACTCAGCAGCAAACTTGCCATGTAGATACCTGTTCCTCTTGGCTTTACTGCTGTTGAAAATGTCTGATTTTATGTACAGAAAGCTATGACCTTCATCTGTTTCATGTTTGGCTTTGTGTTGCCCCTGTTTCTTACTAAATAGTGCAAGCCACAAGAGTCAAGAAAATAAATATTAAAGATATTTAGCTTGAAAAATTAAAGCTTAATATTTTCTGTCTCCTCATTTAGAAGAAATGGAGTCACTTGCAGCATGAGGAAGGATAGGAGTCTGCATTTGTAAAAGAATTAATGAGCTGAAATCTTTGTTTATGTGTTGGGAAAAACAGAAGGAGAAATGTCAAGGCATAATGAAAGAGTTGTTTTAGCAAGACTTTAGTTACTTTTTTTTCCTCCTAGGAAAAATCAGAACATACTTCCTAGAAAACTATTCTTAGGTACCTCAGCAACTATTCATATAAATGTTTTCCCAGAAGGAATAGCTATAAGTAGTAGATAGCAGCTTCTGCTGAGACTATGGTGACCTAAGAAGATGTATTATAGAGGAGGGTTATTGCAGATTAGTTGTAAGAGCTGACAATTTTTAAGTTGCAGCAGTAGTTACAAGCAATATGCATTTCATAGTTACTTGAAACATAACTTGTGTTCTTGTGCTCTTGTATGGGAACAAGAGGAGAAGATGTTTTAAATCTTGCATGTGTGCATTTGCCATAATAGGAGAGTATTGGAAGGTTGCAAAACCTGTAAGTGGCCTGCCTCTCTTGGTCATTATTACTGTGATTGTGTCAGTGTTAAATCCTATACAGTTGAGTTTTGAGCCTTATAATTTGGATTTGTCAGAACTAATTGGTTATTTTGAGTACTAACAGCTTTCAGTGTATCTCTTGTGTTCAAAACTGCAAGTAAATATTTGAAATCCAGGAGGCTCTATTGATTTACCTGTTACAAGGCTGTGGCAATTGCTTAATTCAGTCTGAACATGAAGAACTAGATTATTTTGCTTTCTTCTCAAATGAATGAGCATTTCTACTTGTAGACCAGCCACACGTTTGGTTGTGTGGAGTAGTGGATGGTGTGTTTAAATGCAGAGCACACACTTACAGAACTGATCCCGATGTATTAGCAGATTTTTGGAGTGGCTGACATGGTTACTGCTTTTACTTGGCTGCTAGTAACTTACAACTTGTGAATGACCATAGTCACATGCCCCTCTCTGTTCCTGTGCTTCCTGATCTGCGTCAGTAGAGAGCTACGTATTGACAGCCACATCTCTCAAGATATTTTGTATGGTTTAGTAATAATACTGGCTCTACTGTAGAACTTGATAAATTCTACTACTGTAAAATAAAGCAGTAGACTTGCCTGTCTGCTGTTATCTTTTGTTCAACAGATAGCTCACAAAAGAGTAGTGGTTTTGTTCATGTGCTTAATCTTAGTTTTGAGAAGGGAGAGTTATATGGGGAAAAAACATGCAAATTTACTACAGTAAAAGGTATTTAACACTGCTTGATGAAAAGTGAGAAGACTTGTCTGCATGTAAAAAATGTTTAAATTTGCATTGGAAGCCATTTGGATTGGGACCTTGTTAAGCATGCAGAGAGAAGGCCTTGGTTTTGCAAAGAGGCAATACTCTCAAGTTATGGCCTAGAGCTCTTTCTGTGCTTGGTGTGTTGTGTGCTCAGTTGTGTATGTGCTTGGCTTTATGCATTTAGGCTGTTAGTAACAGGCTGCTGTTGCAGAGGGAGGCGACTACCCTGGCAGGCCAACCACAGCCCCCACCCCCTCCTCCCAAGTGGCCTGGGATGATCTCAAGTGAACAGCTGAGCTTGGAGCTACACCAGGTGGAAAGGGAAATTGGGAAGAGAACCCGTGAGCTGAGCATGGTGAGTGCCAGGGGGGTGGGAGGCAGAGAGGTGGAACGGAGAGCTGTCTAGCTGGCTACAGCCCTTTCACCCTGGCAAAAAAAGGCTCTCTGCTGGATGACCACAACTGGAGTCATCCATCTCCCTCTTCACCTCTTTATTCTTCAAAACCTCCTGAGGAATTTTTTTGATTCTTCTTCATGAAGAGTTTGAATTCTAGCTGCTTTAAAATACCCCGCTGTTATTTTGTCACCATTTGAAAATGAGTGTGGCACGGAATTTGTTGAAAACTATGAATCGTCTCCAAGGTCACTGTGCCATGAGTTGTGTAAACTGCTTTAACACAGAAAACATCGTCTGCAGGTACAGGCTAGTGTTCAGAAGTCTGTGTGCTGTTACAGTCTATGGTCTTTGCTTGTTGTTACAAGAATCCTCCTTTCCTTTTGGGAAATACCGTGTCCTGAGAGGATGAGCATATCTTACTGAGTCTGTTTTCTCGTCTCATGGCTTTTGTGGGTTACGCTGTATGACTCCAATTTACAGGCCTTCATCATCGGTCCTAAAGGATGAAGTCTCAGCTTCTTTTAACACAATCTTAAAGAATTTTTTTTCTGTCTTCTCTTTTTTTTTAAAAAAGGAGAGCCAGTCTTCACTGGATATAAAAACCAAACTGGGCACCAGTAAACAGACAGAAAATGGACAACTAGAACCGCAAAGCAAGGTTCCAGCTGAGGACCTCGCACTGACATTCAGGTAATGTGGATCTTCAGCCTTTCTTAGTGTAACACAATGACTTACTTGGGATCACTCGCTGGTGTATGAATAGTACGCCTTGTCTCACATTGGTTCGGATGTGGAAGCATCTGCTAGGAAAAGATTATAAAAATCGAATTTTTATAGTGCAAGCATGAATTAAGGGCCATTTCAGCTGATGAATAGGTGAGTGGAATGAGACTGTATATCAATTCATGCAACAGAAGAATTGCAGTCTTTGTAAGACCAGAAGTCTATCGAGTCAATACTGGATATTAGTAGGGAGGAGCAGATCAACAGCCACCATAAAATAAACCTTTATCAGTTGTTTTAGTTTCAAAGGAAAGAAATGTTCCAAATGTGAGAGGAAAGTTACTCCATCCTGCTATGGTTTGTGGTGTAGATGTTGTCTAGGAAGGTGTGTAACTTTGAAACAAAGTTCACTTTTATTTGTAGGCAGTAATCTTTATCTGTGCAGATGCTGAGAGAGATTTCAATTCATATTTGATAGTCAGCTGAAGTAAGATGTTGACTGAGAATGCTGGAGATCTACACAGCAAGCATTTTCAGGTGACTGCAAGCATCTGTGTGTATTCAGACTAATACTTTGAACAGTAAAGCTCAGATGTTTCGTTAAGTTTACATAACTTGATGTAAGCAGTTTGGATTCTGGATATTTGTTCAGAAAGCATATTTATTCAGAAAATGTGACCCCCTCAATTACTTATGAGGTCTGCACTTTCTTCTTATAACCAGTTCTTGAGTTCTGTGCTGCACCATTAGATTGAGGCCTCCAGAGCCGAAACTAATTTTTCCATACGAAACTCTGGAAGTAATGAAATTGAAACAACTATTCCTTTTTTTAAACAAAAAATATTTAAGATAAATGATCCAGATAAGTTAAATATTCTGGAGTGTGTGTATTGTACAGGTTGGTACTTTACATCCTGTGGCATATATTGAAGTACTTTACAAAACACAACTAATCTAGAACCCTAAAAATGTGTGGTCTTGCTTGTTTTCAATTAGCCTTATCTTAGTTTTTCCTTTTCGGGTAAGTATCTGCAGCATACCAGACGACCCGTTTGTTATACAAAGCAAGTCTTTATATGTTCACATATGTTCACAACTTTTCATTGAGCTGCTGCAGCAGCAAATAATTGCAGTCCTTTTACTTAAAGTTAAGGAAAAATCTCAGTAATTACTTCTCTTCACGCCTCTCCCTTTCTGCTCAACTTTCAGCAGTGATGTTCCAAATGGATCAGCCTTGACCCAGGAGAACATTGGCCTCCTGTCAAACAAGACGGCATCTCTCAGCCTCTCAGAGGACCCGGAGGGAGGAGACAACCACGACTCCCAGAGAGCGGGAGTTACGCCCACGTCTGCTCCATGAAGTGAGGCCAGCATACCCCAGAGTTTCTTTTGCTGGGGTGTTGGTAGCTTCCATCACGTTTTTTTCCAGGGGTGATTGGAGAAACCCAGGAGAAACAGCAGTAGCAGAGCAGCAGGTCCAGAGGCAATGTGCACAAACACAACTACTAGAAACAAATCCTGCACATAGTTCACATTAACGCATTTTTTAATTAAAAAAATGAAAATTAGCAGTATCTGCAAGCAATTCAAATTAAATTTGTTTTTGTTCTGTGAATGAACTTTATTTTAATAACTTTGGACGCCTTGGATCCCAGGGCTTAAAAAAAAAGATATTATATATATACTCTGTTTGATTAATTGTATGATCTTAATGAAGTAGGTTTTTTCTTTTATTTTGGTATTATTACATACCCAGTGCATAATTCCTTATCACCTTAATTTCTCAATGACTAAAACAACCTGGCCGCTTCCTTGTGTGGTTGAAGGGGAAACAAGGAATGAGGGTTGGAGAGTAGCTGTGAATTGCAGTGTCAAAAGATGTGCAGCAAACTTCGTTCTTAAAGCAGTTCCTCCCATTGTGGCTAGGAGCTGAACACTAGCTTGTGCGAGACTTCTTGCTTAAATTATTTAAGTTTAAACTACAAGTGACAGAATCTTTGCAATGCAACAGGTGCAGTCCTTACTGTGTGTCCCAGCACAGCATGTGTAATTAAAGAGGATAACAAAATAAGCGTTCAACATACGTTATTTTATTTGAAGGTTGCTGGCCTTTTATTTTCTGTTGGGACTGAAGAGGTCAGCAGAATGCAGACCAATCAACTATGGCATGGGTATTTCTGAAGCTGGTTAGCTGGAGCTGGTGGTAGAGGGGCTTAACTAACCAGTGAAGGTTGTGCAGCCGTGACCAAGGCAGAATCTGGAGAAATAGGAAGTAGAGAAAATATAAGGTTATGCAGTTGCTGGAAGGATGTTAACTGCCAATGATCTGGTGAATCATGTTAGTTCATCCAGTGTTTGCTGAGGTTTTTTCCCCTCCCTTCTGGCTATACCTTTAAAACAAGCTTACACCAAGTCTGTACAAGTACGTTGATGCAGAGGGACTTAGAGACCTCTCTGCCTTTTGAAACAGGTCTTTCATGTATGTCTCCTTCTCAGCAACGCTTGCCTATGTTTTTTCTTCATTGCTATTTTATTGTTGTTAAAAACATTATTTCCTCGATAACCTGATTTTTTTTCTTTTTTTCTTGTGTTCAGTGATCCATCAGTTAAACTGTAATGCTGTTCTGAGGGCCTTTTACTGAAGGAGACCAACATCTTTGATTTGTGCGCATCAATGATGGTAATCTTTAGAACAGAGGGGAGGTTTTCTTTTTTAAAATTGGCATTGTTTAAGGTCTGTGTCTATGAGAATTTGACACCTGAGAATCGATCTGCAGCTTATCTGCCGCTGCTGCAGTGAATCCTTCCTGGATTCCCCTTTCATAGGGGAAAAGTTGCATCAAAATGACTGCTTAGGGCACAGCACCGATCCTGTCAGAAGTACTGAAAAGCAAATTTTGCCTGATAGATTTAGTGTGCTACTTCTCCAAGTAGATGCTTTGTAAGCATAAGATGGAGAAACCATAAGCCTTTCTAGATGTTTTCTTTAAAAGTTAAAGAAATGAAAGAGATTTTGTTCTTGCTGCACATTTTTTGACTCTTTCAACATGCACTGGGGTGAGACCCTGTATATGAAGAACTCTGTGGAGACTGATTTTGGAGTGCTGCTCCCTCTTGCACCTTCTTGGCCTGTTCTCGTTGTTTCTTTCTGGGTTAGACTACTAAATCAGAAAGCACTGGTTATGTAATAAATTACTGCATTGCTTTGGTTGGGTAAAGCAAGAGTTAATAAATTTTCTTGGGTTTTAGTTTTTTTTCCTTAACCTTAACTCCTGCTGAGGTCATAGCAACCTTGGGCTAAGCTTTGCATTCATCATACTGTTAAATAAAACAAAATGGGGGGTGGGAGGGGATACAGTCCCACTATTGCCTACCAGTAGGAGAGTCCAAACAGAAGACTCTTTTGAGTAGCAATTATTTAATTTGCCCAGTCAAGGCACCGCGTTTATATACTATTTCACATTGAATTTGATTATGCCCTACAGACCTGGCTGGTCAAGGATTTGATACACATATTGGCTTGGGATTCGAGCTTTCTTTTTTATTTAAATAAAAATTTATA